CCACACAGGTTTCATTTTTAAACTGATTTTTTTGTTGCCTACTTTCATTAAGGTACAATCTAGTTTGTGAATCCCTAACAGAGTTTATATAATTTTGAAAGTCTGTTCCTGATTTAAGAGAATTTTGCTGAAAAATGCCACAGTGAACTTGGTGACTGAGATGATAGATAAATGTAACACAGATATAAAAAAAATTAAAGAACATGTACGAACCCTACTGAGATAATACCTTGGTCATGTGGTTGAAATACTGACTATATGCAATTGATATGCAATTTATTGTGATGAAGGTTTAATTTCAACACTGATGCGTTTGTTGGTGTTGTCCTTTTTAAGTTCTGTTATACAAACAAACAAAAAACCAAAGAAACTGCTGGATTCTGCATATGGGATGAGGCAACTCGGGATGTAGGACAGATTGGTGAATGAGATGCTGGAAGCAGCGCCATGGAAAAGGGTCTGGGGGTCCTGGTTGACAGAAAGTTGAATGTGAGTCAGCAGTGCCATGGCAGCCAGGAGGGCCAAGCCTGTCCTGGGTGCATCAGGCACAGCATCACCAGCTGGGCAAGGGAGGGGATTGTCTCCTCTGCTCTGCACTGGGATCGCCTCACCTTGAGGGCTGGGGGTGGTTTTGGATAGCACAGTGTAAGAAAGATACAAAGCTATTAGAGAGCAGCCAAAGGAAGGCAACAAAGATGGTAAAAGGCCATGAGGGGAAGCTGTATGAGGAGCAGCTGAGGTCATTTAGTCTGTCCAGCCTTGAGGAGACTGAGGGGAGACCTCATTGCAGCTAAAATCTCCTCATGAAAAGAAGAGGAGGGGCAGAGACTGATTCTTCTTTGTGGTGACCAGTGGTGACCAATGTCAGGACCTGAGGGACTGGCTTGGAGTTGTGTCAGGGAAGGTTTGGGGTTTTACCCCCAGAGGGTGGTTGGGCACTGAACAGGCTCCCCAGGGAAGTGGTCACAGCCCCAAGCCTGACACAGTTCAAGTAGTTTTTGGATAACACTCTCAGGCACATGGTGTGACTCTTGGGGTGTCCTGTGCAAGGCCAGGAGTTAGAATCAATGATCCTGATGCTTTCCATCCAACTCAGCATATTCTGTGATTCTGTAAATAGTGTTAAGCGAGGAGAGAAAGATAATCTGTGTAAAAATCCATCTATTTTCATCGGGGACACTCTTCAGAAATAGCATGATCCAAGGTTTAAATAGAGCTCTTGAGTGATAACCCTAGCTCTACCACTAAAGCTCTGCCCAAGGCAAATTATTTTACATCTATAAAATGGAAATGATAGGTACTAACCTGCTTTACAGGAGATTTGCAAAGATAAATTACTTAATGTGTGTGCAATATTTTCAACATGCAAAGTGCCATAAAGGTCTATGAATTTTTATCTCAGCCCTTGCTTTAAAACCTGAGTGAGCACTCATAGAATACAAACTACAATGCAAAATACAATGTCAACAATCTCAAACAACATGCAAAATCTGAGCAAACCAGATTGTAAAACTCCGCTAATTTGTCTCCATTTCTTGTCTCTCAGTAAAAGGCCTGACTTTAAAACCACTTTCACCACTTATTTACAGAGAAGAACAGCATCACCATTGAGAAATGGTTGCTGATTAATTTTTTTGCGGGGCAAATGCTGACCCACTCTTGGTGGATAATGAAAAGCAACCTTTTTTTTTTTTTCATGTAAGGAAAGGATCCAGCAGCAGGGATTTTTTAACTCTTGAGAGGGTTTTGAAACTCTATTTTGTTTGGAGGAAATGTGGAAGGGATAGAAGAATTAATCCTGCTTTTTCCACTGATAGGGAAATCAGTTATTCATCCTCTTGCAGCTACTTCTCTCCATGTGTGGCAAAGTAACCAGCTCAGTGGAGCAGGCAAGTGGCGGTGAGTCAAATTTTGCAATCCAGAAGCATGTTCATGTGGAAGAATTACCAGATTACACCATCTTCACTTCACAGGTCAGCATGTTTATGCTTAATATATAGAAGACATGATACATATATATACACACACATACTATAAAGCAAGCAAATCAAAAGAAAGCTGAAGACAGATGTTGCATTTAGTATTTTCATTATGAACTGTCAATTGAAAAATTGGTGATCAAAAGGTTGGCCTTTGTTCCATAACCTTTGATCCATGCACACATGCAGCCAGCAATAAAATTTTGCAACATGAATATTGAATGCCCTTGGTAAAATTCATGTTTGCTTCAGAGGAATTACACCAAAGGCAGTCACTGGGTATGTGACCAGCTGTTTAGGGAAAATGTCATGTTTGAATTTAAACCATTTCAGAAATTGCTCAGTTGGTAAAAAAGGCCTGAAATTCCTGCCTGTGATAAGCTTCTCAAACTTTAGTCTTAGAGTTCCTTTATGTGTCTTGTGACCTTGTCAAGCAGAGTACAATGCCTCAAAAGTAACACATTTGTGCTCACAAAGGTGGGAGGACAGAATTTACAGCAGCTTGCTGTGCAGCCCCTTCTGCAGTACTGCACTGCCAGCAGCAGATGAGAGTCTCCTGTAGTGGGTATCTGAAGCCTGGGAAAAAGATTTAAAGGGGAATTTGCCTAGTCTCTCCTTGCTCACCATGTCAGCAATGAAGGAGGTGTTTAGTTAGTATCGAATACTTGAATTTATGTGTGTTTGTGTAAGGGCAGTACATGATGGAGGGTGAAGCAAGTATGAAATGTTCCTGCCCAGTATATCAAGTAGAATAACAAAAATTCTGCAAAACAAGTGTTTGTTCCTCAACATGTTAGGACAGGATTTGGACCAGTTTATCTACTGAATTCACATGCAAAAATGTTTTCTTTTTTCCCTATGTTTAGTTTGGTTTTCATTTGTCACTTTGAATCCTCTCTTTCTCTAAATTAAAAAAACCCTATTACCTTCTATATTGGTAGCTTGATACCCAGTGTGCATGTCTAGGGGCACTTTTTTACTTACCTGCAGAACTGATTTGAAGTCAATTTCTTGCTTGTCTTAATTGCATTTCCTTTATCATAAGGCAAGCTGTAATCATTAGTGTGTGCTGAGGATGCTCTGCAAATCTTCCCTCCCTAGAAGTTGGTCTCTTTTTCCTAGGTTTCTCTCACTTTTAAAGATCCTCCTATTTGTCTAAATAAATGAAAAAGAACCATATACACATAGTGTATATGAAGTTGCACTGTGTGAGAATCTTTGAAATAAATTTGTACTAATATTGTATTGTAAGCTAAGGTTCTGCCCTCAGTTACAGCCATGAAACCAATCACATGAATAGAGCTTCTCGGATGTTGTTAATGTGTGAGTTTACTTCAAAGTACACCTTCCACATTATTTACAAAATATAATTGAACCAGAATGTCAGTTACAGAATGTGAAAGCAGTCTTGTAATGCAACTCATCTTAGTAAACGATTAAAGGCATGTGGCCAGGCATGTGCTAGGATGTGTAAATGGGATGGTAGTTTTCTATGCCTAGTTAGGAGAGCGGCTAGTTAAAGTATCAGAAAAAAAAGATTTTTCAGAAGAATTTGAGTGGTAGGAGAAGGGTGATGGATCTCTCAAAGAAACATGCATAACAGAGAAAAGTCAAGGTACATCAGTGACTATTTTGCAATCTATTGTGCTCCAGTACCCTGTGACAGACACAGACATTTAGCACGGAATTTCCCAAACCTCATGTCATTATTGGTTTTAGTCCTGGAGTTCCCACTTAATCACAGCAGTTTTAAGTCTTCATATCCTATTGACTGTGTAACCTAAGCCCTCAGAAGAGCTTTATGAAGAAATTACCACCGGCATTCAGCAGGTTTGAGTGTTGAATCATGATCTACTCGGAGAAACTCCAGCCCAGACAAATGGCACGTCTGTGTCTTATTTACATACCTGAGTGACAAGACAGTGTTTCCTCCCACTTTCCAGAGAAACAGCCTGTTAAAAAACCATAGGAGTATTTTAATGAATCCTGAATAGCTTGGGTTTTCCTCTTGACGGAAAGGAGCACCATACTCTTTTGCTTAATGTCTGTGGATGTACTTGGAGCACCTTAGGAACACTTGTGTTATTTTGTGTTTATTAAGTAACTTGCTACGCGGAGCAAGGAGCACTTTCTCAGTGCTGGTGGCCGGGGAACAGAAGCGGTACGGGCAGACAGGGACCCTGTTACCCCTGTGCTAAATTCGCATTAAAACTGAGCTGTTTTATTCCACGCACACACTTGGCCTTACAAGTATTGGGAGTAAAATGACCTGAACGAGAGCAGGACTGTTCGCAGAGGCCAAGTGGGCTCCGCTGAT